AAAAAAAAAAAAACGCCAGTTCTCGCCCTGGGAATTCGGACTAATTTCCAAAACCCTCTCGAGCACGTTGGAATTCGACGAAAACCGGCACGGAGAAAGAAAGGGTTGCGAACGAAACTCTCGTGTTACCAAGGAAGCACTCACCAATTCCTATCTCCTTCGCGGGGTAGTTCGGAGCACGGGAAGCTTCGCTCGGTCTCGCTCGCGCTCGCAAGGGGATGAAGCTGTTGTAGAGAACGGTAGAGAAGGACTCGAGGATGGATCGACGATAGACTGAAGCGACGACGGGCTTCGGGGTGGTTTCCAAGGGACTGCTTCCAGCCGAAAACGCCTGGACGACTCTCGAGCCTCGGCCTGACTCGGCCTGCCTCGAGTCTGCCTGACCCAGTTTCTCTCTCTCGTGCAACCCACGCAACTGCCCCCGAACCTGCGGCGGGGGTTGTTTTCGCGTGGGCGGAGCTAGGAAGCTCGTCGTATGCACGGGGGTTGAGAGAGATCGGTGCACGAGGGTGGCCAGGTAGGCGTGTCGAAGCTTGGCCAATCGCCGTTCGAACGTCACGCTGACGTCAGAGGGTGGTGTATGACGTATCGTTCGTCGCTCTCGCTTATCTCTGTTCCCTCCAGCCCCGAGGATAGATACGCGAGCGGTTCTCACCACAGAGATGCCTCTGCATCGCTTCTTCTTTTTATCTGTTTACGAATGTACTACTCCGATGGTACTACTTAGCCGCGAAATCTCCGGCACGCTTGCCCGTTAGCCGAGATACACGCCCGCAGCGACGTGACCATCCTCTCGAGCGTGATCTCCTTCCACGTCTCGTTGTCGAGAACGCGTGAAATAACTCTGCTGTTCTTCCATTATATCGTCGACTATATTTTTCTTACTTTATATAACTTTTCGAAAATCCTTCTTTTCTCGGGGAAAAATCCGTGAAATCGAGCACCAATGCGAATCGTATCACATTCCGCTTGGAATACGAATCGCGTCGGCAGACACTCGACCGCGAAAATTCCTAGGAATTCGAATCATCCCCTGCTTAAAGAGATTCGAGTTGGCTATCGACGGAGTTTCCTAAGAATTCGCTGCTCGTTTCGACTCCTAATCGTGGAATCCGCGATTCCTGACGTGTCGCGTGTCCCAACAGTCACGTTTGGCCACGGCGAAACGGTGAAAGGGGTGGCAAGAAATCTGATTTTCTTTCGCGGAAAATGTCGCGACGCATGCGTCCCGTGACTGGAACTTCCGTTTCTTCAGCGCTGAGAGGGCTGAGAGGACTTTGTAACCGAAAGAAGACAGAGAGGAAACGACGGATACATGCCGAGAGAATGACAAACAGGGAGGGCAGAGGGAGGAACAGAGAGGGTTAGACGAGGGTGTAAGAGGGGATAGGAAGGACAAAATGGACGGCAGCCAATCGGATGGCAGGGCAAAATGGCCGACGAATTTAATCAATACTTCCTCCGTCCTTCGCGAGAGGGTGGAGGACAGGGCAAGACCCAGAAACTTCCAGGGACGTAACAACCACCGTCGTACGCGTGCACGTAATCGCATCATTGAGGTCGATACACCTTGTCTCTCGTTCGTACGTTCCTCAGACACCCGTTACATGCGCCGGAGAATATGAGTTTCCACCTTTGTTAACGATCCCCTTTGTTTCTTCGCTGTAGCTGCTCACCTCCGCGTAAAATCATCCGTGAAGCGCATTCTCAACGAATAAGGACGTGCGTTCAACGAGAAGAGCATCGTTGATTTTTGTTTGTTTCTCCTCTCTTTGATAGTTTGAAACGTGGTTCATTGGAGCACGTAGGTAGGCAGGTTCTCTAGTTGCGACGTCGATTATCCTACTACATCAGGAATCGAACAAATCTCATGAAGATTACGCATCGAGTGGTAGTTTTATCTGCAATTTGTGGAGATTTTTGCGGCAGTGAAAATATAATTAGAATTTAATTGTTGCCTGCTCGAGGGAACAACCTACCAGTTTTGTTACGAAATTTTGTAGCAATTCCCTTTTGAGGCTTGGCAACGCTCGACGCGTTGAAACAAAATTCAACGAATTGGAATAACGTTATCGGAGCTGTGCGACGTATATTGGATTTAAAAGATTCAGCTAAACGGTGACATTTCGGAATATTTTGGAACAGTTGCGATGCAATTGTATGGAAAATCTGGTTTGGGAATGCTGGTGGAAGGAGATTCAACAGATTCTCGCGCGCCGCTGTTACTTCGCACAGAAAGTTTAAATTGAAACGATGCAGCCCGAAGCGACCGGGGAAAGAATTCTCCATTGCCCCGGGGATAAATTTCTCGATGGTACTATCGGTCCAGGGAATGCAAATTACTTGTGTCCAAGTTCCTTCGCCCGAGGCTGTTTCCCGCTTTTTCTCGCTTTGCCTTCTCGCGAGAGAGCCGCCTCGATCGAAATGGACAAAGTGCGTACTCTGATAAGATTGCAGCCATTCTAGATTCCATTGTTTATCTGATTTGGAGAAACGTCGATATGAAATGCGTCGAAATTTTTAATGGGGGGCGACGGGAAGCCATCAGATTCACGATTATTCATTTTTCATCCAATTAGAAATTGAAACATTAACATTGACATGCACAAGCTAAATTTCCTCTCCAAGTTTGTTTTTCAATCGAAAGTCCTTCTGTTGAGTATCAAGTAAAAGAATCAATGAAAGAACGTGAAAATACGAAGATCGAGCGTAGCATTTCTTAATTCTATTCCACCGTATCCGACTAAAACATGGAGGAGGGTCAAACGTGATTCGATAATCCTTGATTTAAAAAAGAAAAATCTCTAAATTTATTTTAAAACAGCGGTAATTTATCTCATTGCCAAGACAAGATTGAACTAGTTCGAAGGCATGGTTGAAACAAACGACAAACGATCGATACTCGACACACGCGACAGTACACATCGCCGGTATTCACAAGTATACGTGCATACGCGAATCGGTTGCGCGTGAATGTGAATATTCATGGTGGCAGAGACAACGACCTCGTTTGTCTCGTGGAACAAATTTCGAGTTACCTAGATTGAAAACCCGGCGAA